GCCACCAGGCAGCTCGCCATCAGGCAGTTCGCCATCAAGCAGTTCGCTATCAGGCAGTTCGCCACTAGGGAGTTCACCACCAGGCAGTTCGCCACCAGGCAGTTTGCCACCAGGCAGTTCGCCACCAGGCTGTTCACCCCCAGGCAGTTTGCCACTAGGGAGTTCGCCACCAGGCAGTTCGCCCCCAGGCAATTCGCCACCAGGGAGTTCGCCACCAGGCAGTTCGCCCCCAGGCAATTCGCCACCAGGCAGTTCGCCACCAGGTAGTTCGCCACCAGGCAGTTCGCCCCCAGGCACTTCCAGAAACTCTCACAGCAGGAAAGGCCCCAACAGCCAAAGTCTTTCCCTTGAATGTTGACGTGATGACTGTCTTATCTTCTCCCTGCGGACAGCTCACTGAGATGGTGAGCTGTCCGCATATTAAATGTAATTGGGCCCGCGTAGTGAATGCCAATAGGCGTGGCTAAATGTGGTTCTCATACGCTCATTATACATCTAATGTCTGACCTCTTCCATAATTATCAAGCTTATTACTTCTTTCGTTTACCAATACCTTAAAAGCTGATTCTTGAATCAGGAGTCTGCTTCTGAAATGGAAAGGAATTGTTTAGAGGTAACCGTTGTTTCTGCGAGAGATCTTAAGGGCGTAAGGAAATTGTTCAAAATGAAGGTCTACGTCATGGTTGTCCTGGCTAGCAGTGACAAAGAGCACTTCAAAAGAACCCCCATCGACAAAGAAGGCAGGACGAATCCCAACTGGAATTTCTCCGTGACGTTTGATGTTGAAAATCACTCGGATGTCCAGCTGAACGAGTATACGCTCACCTTCAAGCTCTTTTGTAAGCGCAAGCTGGGCGACAAATACATCGGAGAGGTGAGCGTGCCTATCCAAGATCTCCTTAGAGCAGCCTCCGGCGGCACCGACAGTAATTCTCCACCAGTCATCACCAGACCAGTCAGGCTCGAAAGCGGGTATACACAAGGTGTACTGACTTTCTCGTGTAGGTTTCATGAAGGCTCTGTTGTCAACGACTCGGGGGTGCCGCAGCCCCAGTTTTCGGGCCTAGATCAGTCCCCCCAACACTCACAACCGGCACCAGAGCGTCCTTCCCTTCGCCGGTCTCTGACGACGAAGGTGCAGCAGTTGGTAACGTCGGTTGCAGCACAGGTGATAGCAGATGAAATCATGGACTGAGGAAAAGCTGATGTTGGGAGAAAAAGGAACCGGATCAAGATGAGAAGTCAGTAACGTAGCATCTGGCCTAGTTGGCCGCCGACATGTACCGTACCGTTGCATCGTTAGAATTTAGACTTTGACTAAGGATATGATTGTGGATAAAAACCCTCTTATTGACCTTATCATTTTTATTTATATATCAGTTTGTTTTTCTGAATCTTAGTGTCTTTGGGGAGAGGATTTGTTGGAGACAAAACCACACCGGGCTGATTTATCTTTCACGGCTGAACATGCCAGAGATAGGGTCCATAGTGATCATTGGTGTGTTCACTTGTTGTAGGTAGTTCAGTCGGGTGTGTAGATTTTGTCTCCCGTTCATCACAGTCCCGAATCAGAATCTGAGGAGCAATGGGAATCAAAATATAGAATAGATGTTTCAAATACACGACTATTAAGTGTTGTGAGTACAAATTCTGTGAAAACTAAACCCGGTCTAAAATAATCAGAATCAGAATTAGAATAGTTTATTCCTCTTACCAGTTTGGTTTGAATTGGAAATGAAATCCAAATCAAATTGAACTTATTTTCATCATTCTCTCGTGAGGAGGAAGGAATAATCATTCCCTCAAATGGAGGAATGCTTCACAGGAATATTGGGAATTAGGATTCTGATTCCCTCTGCTGATACAGAGATGTATCATACTTTGAACTATGGTTTGTACATTGAATTTTTTAGCAAGGATAGATGTGAGATTCAATTTTCTAATCATATATAGTAAATCTCACATCTCCTCTCTCACAAATCATTGCACACTTGGGTCCCTGCCAATGAGACCAAGTTATTGGGTGGAAGATTAGAGTTGGTTTCTTGTTAAATGTCGTACATGAAGCCATGGTGCATCTTTTTTCGTTAATTATTGCTCTAAATTAAGAATCTATTTGGGAAGAGTGCAAATGCAAATTCTATTGGTTTTGGTATGCGAAGATTATGCCGATTGGCACCCCATTTGCACCGATGGTGTTTGGTAGGAAAGAGGGGAAACCGGGGGCACATATTTGCAGTCATTTGGAAAATTTTTGATGTTACAATCCCCTTGCTCTCTATTTCTCAATTTAATTGGATAGAAGAGAATCACATAGCTCCTCATTCTGTTCTTGAGCATTTTGACATTGTAAGGATGATTCCAATCTAATGGTTCTGTCTTCTTACACGTGCTAGTCACAAACAAGTTCCAAAAACCGCCATTCTCTTGGTAATCAACATGCATAACTACTTCTCATCGATGGGGAAGCTGATTCTACCACCATCAACACAACCATCATCTTTTTCTCTCAAAGTGTTTTGGTGCAAGTAATTTTTACCTGCCACTGCCACAGGTCACTGTCAGACTACGATATTCTAGGGGAGTGGTGGAACAACGATACAATCATCCATGGTTGATGTGTTTCGAGGGAATAAGGAGGTGATAATTGTAGGGGTTATGATGAATTTGTGTTGTGAGACAATAATAAGAGAGGCATTTGTGAGAGAGGGTTTATGGTTCCTCCAAGACGCAAGAGGCAACAAAGAGAGCAAATCAATGTTCTATTTCCATCAATGGAAAATGAGAACACATGTTTAATTCCAAAATTTTGACTTACATTTACACCTCAAAATTGAGGAAAATTTCTTTCACACCGTTGCCAAACGACAAGAAAAATGACCTGGGATGCATATTGCCCTCAAACTAGGTTTTGCACTCTTCCCAAATGGAGCCTAAAGTTCCATTTGGGAGGATCACAAATACAAATATGCTTGATCAATAGTCGATCATGAAAATGATAACATTTATATATATGCACTCTTCCTAGATGGAGTCCAGGGGCTTATTTGGCATGCTATTTTTGATAAACCAAGCACATCTCTTGACCCTTGTAAAGTGTATATGGTTTATGGTCCTCGATCTCTCACTTCAAATTTCTGATTAGTGCATTGAATCTATAGTCCCTACCCCTCTCAGGTTCGACTATGATACCAAAAAGATATGATACTGGAAAAGCTTACATCCAATCCATTAGTATCATAACGGGGGTGATCAACCAGTTGGTGTTCATCACAATTCATAGGGTGCATTAATTGGTCAAAGCCCTTCTGGTACCATATCTTTCGAGTGTTATAGATTTCCGCCTCACATAACTAAGAAGGGTACATGTGATTGGTAAGGCTAGTAATTAAATAAAGTCCATGTTTTCTTTCTGATGCCAATATTGTCCACAAACATTGGATAAGGATACAATTTCGGGGCATATCAAGAATTGGATTATGACAAATTGGGGGTATTTTATAAATGAAATTATGGGATCATAGGATTATAAGAATACGAGGAAAACTTAGGGATGTTTTAAAAATCATTATTAAATCTATAGATATTTTATTAATTTACCATCAGGTTCAGGGAATTATATGCAAACCCCATCCCTAATTTGGGGCAAAAATATTTTCCCTATCCCACCACCCTGTCTTTGCCCCGTTCCCGTTTAAGATTTGAGAAAACTTGGATCATTCGTGGCAGGGCAAGGTAGGGCCGTAGTTTTATAGGGAAAATTGCCATCCCTACAATTCTAGTAATTTTCTATAACTAATTAACTAACAATAAATTATAATATTTTATGATAATTTCTAAAAAAATATTGAAATTGCTACTGATTAGTAGTAATGTATAATAAATTAATTATTTATAATAGCAATAAATTAATGTAAATTATTTACTTTGTAATCCTAAATTATTTACTATTACTCAAAGTAAATGTAATTATAGTAAATTAATGTAATTATGGTAAATTATATTATTTTTAATAAAAAGTAAACCATTTGTTGTTAATTAATGTAAAACCAAGTATGATCGAATTCAACCAAGTGGTCTAAATTGGTGTGGATATACTTAATAAATTAATGTAAATTATTTAATTTTAAGCCTAAATTATTTACTATAAATCAAAGTAAGTGTAATTATAGTAAATTAATGCAATTATGGTAAATTACATTCATCTTAATTAAAAGTAGACCATTTGTTGTTCATTATTGTAAAACCAGGTATGATCAAAGTCAACCAAATGGTCTAGATCAGTGTGGATAGACTTAATATTTTTTCTTAATTATTTAATAATTATTTATTGAAATAATAATAGTGGATTGTTATTTAAATAATTATGAAATGATTTTTGATAGATTAATTTCTGAATTTAATTTTCCTATTTTTTTAATAATTATTTAGTTGAATAATAATAACGGATTATTATTTAAATAGTTTTGGAGATTTTTTTCATAGATTGATTTCTTAATTTTTTAATTACTTATTTATAAATAATTATGGATTATTAGTTAAAGAGTTTCCCTAAATTATTTGATAATTGTTAACTATAATTATTAAGTTTATAGAAATTAGTAAATTATGCTAATTAATAATATCTTTTATCAATAAACAATTATGGGGCGCCCAACCTTGTCCCTCACCCCCATAAGTCAAGACAATCTACTCCATCCCTGCCTCGACCACAATGACGGGGTGGGTTCGGGGCAAGGTATTTATTTCTTGCTAGGGATAGGGAATCCCCAAAATTTCCCTACCTTGAGGCAACCACTTAAAGTAATCTAATTTATGAATGTTTTACAAATAGGATTATGGGAATTTAGGGATATTTTAGGAATTTTATTATGACAATTTGGGGGTATTTTATAATTGAAATAATGGGATCCTAGGATTATATGAATATGAGGAAAAGTTAGAGATATTTTAAAATTCAATATTATATCTATGGATATTTTACTAATTTACCATCGGGTTTGGGGAATTATATGGAAACTCCATCCCTAATTTGGGGAAAAAATGTTTTTCCTATCCCCACCCCGTCTCTACCCCGTGCTTGTTTAAGATTTGAGAAAACTTGCCCCATTCAGCACAGGGGCAGTGCAAGGCCCCAATTTTATTGGGAAAATTGCCATCCAAACAATTCTAATAATTTTTTATAAATAATTAACTAATAGTAAATTAAATATAACAATAAATTACAATATTTTATGATAATTTCCAAAAACAATTATTAAAATTGCTATTGAATAGTAGTAATGTATAGTAAATTAATTATTTATAGTAACAATAAATTAATGTAAATTATTTAATTTTTAATCCAAATTAATTACTATTAATCCAAGTAAATGTAATTATGGTAAATTGCATTATTTTTAATTAAAAGTAAACTATTTGTTAATTAATATAAAACCAGGTATGATTGAAGTCAACCAAGTGGTCTAGATCAAAGGGGATAGACTTAATAATTTTCCTCAATTATTTAATAATTATTTATTGAAATAAAAATAATGGATTGTTATTTAAATAATTATGAAACAATTTCTAATAGATTAATTTCGTAATTTAATTTTCCTAAATTTTTTAATAATTATTTAATTGAAAACAATAATGGATTATTATTTAAATAGTTTTGGAGAATATTTTTCATAGATTAATTTCTTAATTTTTTTAATTGTTAATTTGAAAAATAATTATAGATTATTAGTAAAAGAGTTTCCCTAAGTTATTTGATAATTTTTAACTATAATTATTGATTTTATAGAAATTAGTAAATTATGCTAATTAGCAATATCTTTTATCAATAACTTAATATTGTAAAAATTTATTAAATTACAATGATAATGGATTATTTATTATTAAATAATGGATTGCTTATTAATTTTTGGTAGAATATTTTCTTAAAAATCTTAATAATTTTCATAGCTAATGGATTATTTAACAATAGATTATTATTTAAGAATAGATTATTTAATAACAATGGAAGATGCCATGAACAGGAAACATCGAATTCCCTTATTCCCCTCTCTTTGGTTGAAATCACGTCTATAGATATAAATATTGTTTGATTTGGAAAACTAAATATTAATAAATTGTGGCCCTATTTTTTTGGGAAAGTGGAGAGAATAGAGGGGAATTAGAAATAGAAGTGGAAAGGATAAAACATATATTAAGCTAATTAAGGAGATAAATTAGGTTGTTATAGAGAGTGAGAGACAAGAGTTGGGGGGGGAGACAGATAATCTAATGAGAAGAAAGAGGAATGAAGAGAGAGGGTGCTGAGGTGGCAAATTGGGAGTGGTGGGAAGAGGGAGAGGAGAGAGAGTCAAGGAGAATGCAGGGTTGGGTATATATCTATCTATCTATATATATATATATATAAAATGAATTACAAAATGTAAATAGTCAATAAACATTACTTGATTGATTTAAAAGTTTGTAGATATTTTAATAATTATTACCCATTTTAAAGTGTAATACAAATTAACAATTAGTTGTGAGTTATTATATTAGGAGGTAATAAATGATTATTAAATATTAACTAATATAATTAATCAATATTTAGTAATTATTATTATTATTTAATTTCCAAAATA